GTAGTGCCTAAGGCACTTGACTGCTAACCGGAAGCCTGGCGGTTCAAACCCACCAGCCACTCTTCGGAAGGAAGGGTGGGCAATCTACTTCCGTAGTGATACCGCCTCGGAAACCCAAGGAGGGGTCACTAAGAGTCAGGTCCGACTCGACGGCACATAACAACAACAACAACAATTTGCTACTTTACCACCTGTTCATTGTACGGTGGTGGCTTGCCTGTTGCTGTGATGCTGAAGCTCTGCTACAGGTATTTCAAATAACAGCAGGGTCATCCATGGTGGACAGGTTTGGGTGGAGATTCCAGACTCAGAAAAGAAGGAAGGCCTGGAGATCTATTTCTGAAAATCAGCCAATGAAAACCCCGTGGATTGCAACAGAATATTGTTCGATATGGTGCTGGAAGATGAGCTCCCTTGCTTTGAAGGCCTCAAAATATACAATGGCTGCGACAATGCACTGCAGCATATCAACAACACTGAAGAGGATGCAGGACTGTGCAACACTTCGGTCTGTTGTACATGTGGACACAATGGCAACTAACAACAACTTGCTACTAAGACTTTGAGAAAGCAACTTAAAACGTGTAAAGATTTTCTCATGTGTGAATGATAATGCCTGATGCATAGAGTTGTGAAGCTTAAGTAAAATTACATAACTAATTTCCTGCTTAGTTGTGCAGGTTGCTAGGCACCTAGTTCAACTTTAGTAAATATTAGTTCTTTTTTTCTTCTTCCTTCCTAATCCCAAAGTATACTTTATAATAATCATATATGTATGTCTGTCTGTGTGTGTGTGTGTATTCACACACACTTCTATAACTCAAAGGCAATCTGATAAGGCAAGTTAAGGTAAGTAAAATTATCCCCATTTTCCATCCAGAGAAACTGAGATTTCAAAGGTTTGATTAAACTGACCAAGGATATCCAGTAATACCACATACATAGGACTAACACAGTAATGTCAACTCAAACAATGCTATGTCCAATAAAAATACTTATAACTTAAACTAGGATTGCAAGAACTAATTTAATAGGCCTGAATCATGGATTCCAGTAGCTGCCTTTGACACATTTATATCACAAATGACAAGTGTTTTATTTAAAACAAACTTTTGACTAGAAAACATAAGGAGACTTTTGTAATTGTCTAAAAGACATATTCTGATTTCTTTTTCTGAGTTGTCATGGGATTTGACACACCAGATAAAGCATTTCAGGCCTTGAGATATTCACAGCTCTGTACCATTTATATCTGACGTCCAGGTTAACACTTCACGTTTTATTTTATGGTGGTAAATAGATATAACATAAAAGTTTCCATTTTAACCATTTTTAAGTGTATATTTCAGTGGCATCACTTACATTCATGATGTTGCACAACAATCACCACTATTTCCAAAACATTTTTGACCCCTCAGATGGAAACATTTGCATACATTAAGTAATTCCCCTTCCCACAGCCCCTCAAAATCTACTTTCTGCCTCCATGAATTTGCTCATTATTGACATTTCATATGAATGGAAATATTTGTCCTTTTGTGTTCAATAGACTTTGTCTTAATTCTTTATATATATGTGTATGTGTGTGTGTGTGTGTGTGTATATATATATATATATATAAATTTTTAAATTCTTTGCTCAGGGAAGTAGTAAAAGAAAGTTTTATTTATTTTCTTTATTTCTACATCTGAACATATCCTTCAAAGAATGAGGAATAGCTCATCTGACCTAGGAGAACAAGAAACCCTTTGGGAAGTATTTCACTAGTTGGTGTAGTTACTTTGCCTCAAAAGCTTAGAGAGCAGGCTCCACCCAGTCTCTGTCTTTGGAAGTCTGCCCCCTCCTCACAGTCCTAAAAGAAGGTCTAGGGCTGTTCCATACTTTCTGCTTTCGCAGTAGGCATGGTGTCTCTGTGTGGACCTACAGGCCACCTGTAGGCTGGCACACTATGTTACAGCAACTGAGTTGGGGAGGCGGGCCTGCAACTCATCCCTGCTACAGCCTTGGGAGAGAGAGAAACTCAAGACTAGCTTTCTTCCTGGTCGACCCCAAAGTTTAGATTCAGTGTGGAGGAAATGGGATCAGTGTGTGTTCATGTCTAGCCACACCTTTAGTGAAAGTGCTCCCTTCTCCTTTGGTTATCAGTTCTTTACCCATATTATCGAACACACAAACCCCAGAGGGACAAATGAGCCATCAGCCACCCCTTAACCTCCAACAATTAATATAGAGGCTAACACAATCAAATAAATTACATAAATGATTCTTAGCAATCCAATTTAAGCTTAGACTCTACACAAGGCACTGTGCTAAGTATTTAAAACACACACACACACAGCCTCCATTAGAAGCTCACAGTTTAGCAGTAATCATTAATGAATACATAATAATTACAAGTCTGAACCATGAAATTAATGTCCAGACCATTCAGTGACATTATACAAACAAAGGAATCTACTATAAAGCATGTAATTTAACCAAAATATTTCTTTTCTTCTACAATAAAATTCTAAATCCATTTTCTCTAACAGATTAGGTAGACTATGACATGACAGCATGACCAAACATGCGGTTTCAGCTTAGTGACTCTCCAATCTACTGTTGATCAATGAAATGGATTAGAAAGAAAAGGAAAAGCAAACTTGCTTTTAAAAAGGGGTGGGTACGTGGGTGGATAAAACAAAAAATTCTTATAGACCAGTAACTTATAGAATAGTCCTAGAGTTAAAGGAGCATAAAACAGTGCTGCTCAAACTTTAATGACCTGGAACCCTCAACTAGAGAGCTTGTAAACACTTATTTAGTAGGTTGGTGCCTTAGATTCTTCAAAGGATGCCTATGCAGCTGGCCTATAGGCAACACTTCCAGTCAAAAGGTTTTAAGAAATCATCTTTCTGTTCCAAACATATAACAGAAATCACATCTAATCCCCAAAAGTTCCAGATGATTTTTCTAATGTTTTAAAGTGAGAAATTGCAGCAAAATGTGTTGGGCATACCTGTGGAAGGTGTACAGTGGATAATTATTTGACTGTGTTCTTCATTTTCAGCCCGGCTTGTGACACCTGCTCCATCAGCATTACCTGCACACGTAATACAAAGGAAGTTTAATTAAAATATTATTCAACTGAAAAGAAACATTTTCGTGTAATTTTCTCTCATTTATATGATGTATGAAGCTTGATGAAGCTTGATTACACAGTAAAGATGCCAGTAACACAGAAAACTCCACCATCTTCCCAGATTCATATTGATCCTTCACAAAAGGATTACAACAGCAGAGACTCTGATGAGTGCCTTAAAGAGTTCCATTTTAAAAAGTTTATGCACTTGCCTTTATCCTTTGCCACACTGTGGTCTTGGAGGCTGCTATCTTCTGTGTTTGAATTTGCATAAGAGTCACAACCCCAAAATGCACAGCACTGATAAGCATATGGTACAGATAAAGACCTGGGGAAAAAATTATAAAATCTACAATCAACAGCAACTTCAAAGGCATGCTTTTGTTCTTAAAAAGCATTTTAATCTTTGAAAGCTCCAGGTTAGGAGTCAAAAAAGACCTGCCATATGCTTTAGGCTGGTCACACATCCTCTCTGGGCCTCAGTTTCCTTACGCAGAAGAGGAGCTCTGGTATCACAGGACACCATGAGTTTCTCCCTATATGTGAAAGATGATCTTAAAAGTTGAATGTAAATCAAACCATGTTTAAATTCTAATAGTAATACTGTAATTTACAGTAAAATCTTATTAATATCCCTTTACAAATGAATTAATCACTCCCAATTTATTATATGAGATTTGCTAGTTTCATTTAAATTTAATGGCCCCAGATCATGCTATGACTTTTTACCATTAAATGAATTTACTATATTTATCTACTATAATAATGTTCCCTCTGTAACTCTAATTTCTCTTCAAAGTATTGTAGCATCTATCAACTTGTCTGCAGGTTCCTACTTAGGTGGTTTCTGCCATCTTGTTGCTAATGAAAGTCCACTGCATAAAAAATCTTCTGAGGAAGAGCTGTGTCATCTCCGTGAAAGCATCAATGGCTCCAGTTCCTATTCTCAAAGCTATGCAACAATGGTCAAAATCTATCTTTGACCAAATTTGTGAGAACTGAAGTGGGAAATACTCTTAAATAATAGCCTCTCAGAACATACAGAACCACGTAAAAATAAAATCGAGACACTTTATACTTTAGGAACTATTAGAACTTCAACAAAACAGAAAAACAAATAAAAACTCACCTGAGATTCACAAAATCTTTTGCTGCCAGAGCTTCTTTCAGCTTAAAGTTGCCCACAAGCTTCAGTTGATTTAGCCCATTCAGGCCTTCAGTAGGAAATGAAGTTAATTCATTGAAACTTATGTCACTAAAATGTGAATAAAATTTCATGTTAACTCCTAAGATACAAGCCATATAAAAAGATCTAAGATGAAGTTTGTTGTTGTTGTTGTTGTTGTTGTTATGTGCTGTCAAGTCAGACCTGACTCATAGTGACCCCTCCTTGGGTTTTCCAGGCAGTATCACTAAGGAAGTAGACTGCCCAACTTTCCTTCCGAGGGGTGGCTGGTGGGTTTGAACCACCAGCCTTCTGCTTAGTAGTCAAGTGCCTTAGGCACTATGCTACTAGAGCTTTAGGTATGCTAAAATGATAGCTCTAGCATTGATTCTGCTATCATAGAAGCTGTTACTACATCAACACAGCTTAGCATTTATACAAGGGAGCAAGGATAGAAAACTACGTTGATAGGACAGTGTCAAATCACTGGTTTCTGTAGTGCTATTCATTACGTTCATGTTATTAATGCATAAAATTGTCTACTTACAGGTTAGTTATTGATCCAAGTTTGGCAAAAGCTCCTTTGTGAATTTCATGGATCAGGTTTCTACTCAGATCTCTGCAATTATTAGAATAACATGTTAAACTTTTCAAATAAACAGTCACAGTTGCAGTTAGTTACTTCAACTACACTTTATAATCTGACATAGTCCCACCACATCCCTGATAAAATAACAAAGGTTCTCAATCTCCCCCAACAACATTTTTTTAGGATTATTTTGAATGCTTCCTTCACAACAATCTATTTCTTAGGAATGTGTTCCACTTAGCAGTAATCCTACCTAAACCCAAAACCCACTGCCATCAAGTTGATTCCTACTCATAGCGACCTTACAGGGCAGAGTGGAACTGTCCCATAGGGTTTCCAATGCTGGCAATCTTTACAAGGGCACCTCTCTCTCCTTCAGAGCAGCTGGTGGGTTCAAACCATTAACCTTTTCACTTAGCAGTCAAGTGTTTAACCCCTGTGCCACAAGGGCTCCTTTCCACCTGGCATCCGTTTAAAAACAGTTGTGAATTTTCTCTACTTTATCATTCTGGTAGCAGTTCAAAAACATAAAAGATACGATATAACCTTTGGTACTGTTAAGCAGATGAGGAAAAGCCCAGCTCATGAAAAACTGAAAATAAAAACAGGCTTCCTATTATTTGCCTTCTCAAAGGTTAGTGATAAGGCCCAGAGGGAAGACAAATAATCAATATGCAAACAACAGCATTCCTGAAGGGCTTCAGATATCATTCTTTTCCCAAGCAGGAAATAAAAATCATATCAGCAGCAGAGGCACACTTTATATTGAGAAACACCCACTGAGTAATTCTGATATTACAGGATTAATAAAACAGAGAAATAACTTCCAACCACACTCAAATTGGACTTTAATGGAATTCTAAAGATTAGATAAATTCATTCCATGACACATCTCCTGGATAACAGGAAAACTTGACAAATTTCTTTCCAAATCATGAGAAGGCAAGCTTTCCATTGTTCTCACTTATCAGTGCTCTAGAAGTGATGGCAGCTATGAGCCAGTCCCCTTCCCACACTACCTCCAAGACTTACAGTAAGCCTGTCACCAAAAAGGAAAAATCTAGCAACCCAACTATCAATAAAATATTTCCTAGTAGAAGGCATGTTTTATTTAACTAAGATCTACTAGAAAATAAGGTTCGATATATGTTTTCACTTCAGTTCAATTTTTTCTATATTAAAAAAAAAGTTCACTAATTTAGTTTATCTGTTATTCACACTAAAGTTCTATGAAGGCAGTGACAAGGTTGATCTTCTGTCCATCCTGTTGCTGTCAAGTTGATTCCGACTCATAGGGACATTATAACACACAGCAGAACTGCACCATAGGGTTTCCAAGACTGTAATCTTTATGGAAGCAAGCTGTCACAATTTTTCTCCTGCAGAGGCTGGTGGGTTTGAACCACTGCCCTTTCACAGTTAGCAGTCGAGTGTTTAACCCTGTGCCACCAGGGAGGCCTTCTTAGGTCTAGTCTTAGTCACTTCTATATTCCCAAGAATTTAAACTAATACTTGGTACAAATAAGTACTCAAATGAAAATACTTTTTGAAATGGGTGCTTCAGCTGCAAAATCACTATATTTGTAATGACAGACAGACATTCTTATGCAGGGGTCAGCAAATATTTTCTGTAAAGGAACAGATAGTACATAGTTTTGGCTTTGTGGGCCTTGTGGGCTCTGCTGCAACTACACACCTATGCCACTGTATAGTGAAAGCAGCTTTAGACAAGTTAAACAAAATGGCACTGCTGTATTCCAATAAAACTTAAGATACAGAAACAGGACACAGGCTAGTTTTAGCTCCCTAACCATAGTTTCAACCCTTAATGCATTAGAAAACCACAGTATTATCATTTGAAAACAAACATGCTACATCTCTTACATTTTAACTTAACAATTTACAACATCAACAATTAGTGAAGGTAAAAAATTTCAAAAGCAGATTATTTATGAAATACCATGTGATACAGTTTAAACAGGAATATTCATGGAAAAAAATTCTTATCTTTAAGTATATTTTTTAACATGGGAACCTTGTTGTTGTTGTTATGTGCCATCGAGTCAGACCTGACTCATAGCGACCCCTCCTTGGGTCTCCGAAGCAGTATCACTACGGAAGTAGATTGCCCCATCTTTCTTCCGAGGAGTGGCTGGTGGGTTTGAACCGCCAGTCTTTTGGTTAGCAGTCAGATGCCTTAGGCACTATGCTACCAGAGCTCCTGTGGGAACCATAATGGTATATTAATTTATAGTTTTATATCTTTAATAATCATAGATAAACTTACAGAATCCTTAATGAAATAAGTCCTTGAAAGGTACCTTCCTTTATCTGACGAATCTGATTACGCTGCAAAGAACTATTTAAAAAAAAAAAAGGAAAGATGGAGAATAAAGAGATGAGAGAAAAAATTATTTTCTATTTTAGAAATTACATTTCTTAGCTAAACTTAGAATTCACATTCATATATAACATTAATTGAATTTGGTAAAATAAAGAGGGGAAGAAGAGGAGTTAATGGTGATGGAAAAATCACATTAAGGTAGGGTTTCACAGCTGATCATTGTAATTGCTGTCAATAAGTTGTGCACCTGAAACAGTCGAACTGCCAAAAGTTGTGTAATAGATATATTTACAAAAACAACCCCCTCCCAAAAAAAGAGGAGGAGGTTCTGAGGCTGTTTGGATGTTTAGGGTCATGGTCTCATGGGATATCCCAGTTAATTGACCTAATAACATGCGTACTTCTGTTCTATCTCCTGGTTTGCTGTGTGGTACTTGAGGTCTTAAAAGCTTACAAGGCACAATTGGTCTTTATTCACCTGGAGCAACAGATGAAGAAGGAGAGTCAGGAACAGGAGGAGGGCATGGCATGTGTGGCTAATGCTGCCATGAACAACTGCCTCTTTTGTCATGAGACCAGAACTGGATAGTGCCTGGCTACCATTCCTAGACATTTTGATGAAAGATGCCACAGAAGAATTCTGATTAAAGGGGAAAATGCAGAACAGAATTTCAAATTCTCATAGACTCCAGACTTTCTGGAGTCATGGAGGGAGGATGAATCCCTGAAACTACTGGGCTGAGATAAGCCTTAAGCCTTAAACCAAAAATATCAGCTGAAATCATCTTAAAACCAAACAGTAGTTTATCTTAACTAGTGAAGAAATGTCCACCTTGAGCATTACTGCTCTTTTTAGAACTATCTACATGGGATCAACATGATAACAGCAACTTGAAAGATTACCTGGGAACCTTAGTGATAGTGAGTTTATGATAATGAGAGAGGAACAACTCAAAAAAGGAGCATGAGAATGGTTAAACAACTTGCAGAACGTAATCAATGTCACCAAACTGCACAGGTACAAATTGTTGAACTGGTGTCTGTTTTGCTGTTTTGATCTCAAAAACTACAAAATAAATAAAAATTTAGGAAAAAAAAAAGTAAAGATAATCGTAGTTTACTCATCTCTAAAATGAAAGAGACTGGATGGTATTTCATCACAAATTATACTGAGAGCTAACTGGCACACCATCTAAATTCCTTATCACACAACCTCAGAAGTGAGAGTGATCAGAGAGTGAGAAAAGATCCAGGAAACACAACCATGAAAATCTTCCTTCCGAGGAGTGGCTGGTGGGTTTGAACCACCAGCCTTCTGGTTAGCAGTCAAATGCCTTAGGCACTATGCTACCAGAGCTCCCATCATAGGAAGAAGGGAGAATTTTCAGTGAGTAGCGACTGGGGTCTTTAAAGCTTACGAGTGACCATCTAAGATGCAACTAATGTTCTCTCCTCATCGAGAGCAGAAGAGTGAAGAAAATCAGAGACTCAAGGAAACAATTAGTCCAAGGGGCTAATGGACCATGTGAACCACAACCTCCACTACCTGGAAAGAAAACTAGATGGTGCCTGGCTGCCACTACTGACGGCTCTTATCAGAATCACAACAGAGAGTCCTGGACAGAGAGGGAGGGAAAAAAAACTGTACAACAAAATTCAAAAACATAAAAAGGACCAGACTTACTGGTCTGATAGAGACTAGTAGAACCCCTGAAGCTGTGGCCCTTAGACACCCTTCAGGCCTAGAACTGAACCAACCCCTAGGGATCAACTATCAACCAAATAAGGAATGTACTCCTCAGTACAATCAACCATATGAAACCAAAACCTTTGACCAAAAACAAATCTCTGAAGGCAGTAAAGGGTAGGTAAGAAGGATGAATGGAAACAGATAATAACCCAGGGAGGAAGTGGGAAGAATGCTGTTATACTGAGGGGATTATAACCACTGTCATGAAACAAAATGTGTACAAATTGTTGAATGGAAAACTAATTTGCTCTGTAAACTTTCACTCAAACTACAATTAATTAAAAAAAAAAAAATGGAGAATTAAATGCCTCCCACCTTTACACTGTCTTCCATCATAGCAGACTGACATACGTACACATGTGGCTACTAGTATCCACGTCTGCTTTCCTTCAATAGTTAGGACAAGTTTTTGTTTGTTGTACACACCAACCTCCACAACCACTCCACCCCCACCACCATAGCATCTCACAGAATGCCTGATATAGAGGTGTCTAATTCTGGTTAGGAGCTCTGGAAGCATAGTGCCTAAGGCACTTGATTGCTAACCAGAAGGCTAGTGGTTCAAACCCATCAGCCACTCCTCAGAAGGAAGGTTAGGCAATCTACTTCCATAGTGATACTGTCTTGGCAACCCAAGGAGGGGTCGATATGAGTCGGGGCCGACTCGACGGCACATAACAACAACAACAATAAATTCTGGTTACATGAACACACCCAGTACAATCTGACATTTTATTCAGAGAAATATGTGATTACATGAACTTCTAATTTCTTAATATTAAAGTCATTTATTTAAAAAAGGAACTCTCAATAAACAACACACTACAGTAAAAAAAAAAAAAAAAAGTCAAAGACCAACTTACATTTCTTCCAGAGCATAGCATCCATTAAAACTGGGAAGGTCTTTTATATTGTTGTAAGACAAGTCCCTTAAAACAATGGGAAATCAGCAAATTAATTTTATGTTATCAGAATACTAACATCAAAAGAGCTGTACTTGGAAGCAATGAAAGCAGTGCTAAAATCAGTGATAACAAGATATGACTCAACAAGAAAAGCAGCTATTTTTTCTGAAGCCTTAGCTTGTGGAGCACCTCAGTGATACAACAGGCTTAGTATTTGTAAGTGTCCAGTATGTAATGTTGAGTATAGACAATATGAAGGAGCTCTGGTGCAGTGCATAAAGTATTTGACTGCTAACCAGAAGGTTGGCAGTTCAAGCCCATTAGCGCTCCACGGAAGGAAGATGGGATGATCTACTTTCATAAAGATTTACTGACTTGGAAACCCAATGTAGGTTGTTATGAGTCAGAATCGACTTGATGGCAGTGGGTTTGGTTTGGATAATATAAAAATATATTAAAACATGTTAAAATATATAACATCAACATATAAAATATATAAAAATTATATTTAAGTGGTAGAGGCATATATTTTTTTAAAAAAATTGTATTTTGAAACATTATTTGTGCCAGAAGTACTGTACCCACCCAGTCCCCAACCCCCCACAAATAGCGCACTCACATAAATAACATGCTGCAGTGTAGTAAATTACTTTGTGTGGCTTTTCTACCCATAAGTCTTTGTAAACTCCAAGGTGGAATTTGCTATGAGCAACTGAGGAGCTCCTGATTGCTGAAGGTGTCCACCTGGAGTATTTCTGTTGGGAGTGGCACAAAACAATGTTCTGGGAGGTGCCCACTCTCTCTCAGGTGCTTAGAGTTCTGATGCCATAATTGGCTAGTTTGACCACCCTGCTGGGCTCTAAAGGAGACCTCCTGGAGGCAGAACTCTCTCGGACTGCTGGTCGAGGAAGACTTGCTGCTGAAAGAGACACGGGCTCCTGAGACATGCGTTGCTGGGAAAGAGACGCAAGAGACACGCACCCCAGAAAGAGACTGGGAGAGACTCTTGGCTGAGGGACGGTGGGCTGGGAGAGAGACTGAGCGTTCTTCCTGAACTTGAGTTGTAGACTGGTGCTTCCCTAATAAACCCTGTAATCTGTGAGTTCTGTGTGGCCACTGCAGTGAATTATCGAACCCAGGAGAGAGGTGGTGGGTGCTTTGGGAGGAACGGTTGGTGAAAGGGCTGGAGGGAGGCAGCATGTTTGGCCTAGCAGTAATAGGCCTTGGGTTACTGCTGTCTTCCTCTTGTGAGATTAGAGGAGGTCAGAACATGGGGCCTCCTTGCCATTTTTGCACATGCATACACATATCAAGGGCAGAAACGATAAAGCTGTAAGAGGCAGGGTATCACGTTCACATTGTTTGTAAGTGTTTCAATGAAATCAAATATTAAAACTAGTTAACACTCAGTTAACCCCATTGCAATCATCATGTTTAGGTTCGGTACTCTACCACAGCATTTAATTACTTGCTTAATCAATTAATCACTTATTTTGTCACAATATCCCTCCACTGAAAACTTATTAACAATTTAGTAAGTTGTTTATTCTTGTGACATTTTTACATACCCTATTTATTTGAGGAGCTCTGGTGGCATAGTGCCTAAGGCATTTCACTGCTAACCAGAAGGCCGGAGGTTCAAATCCACCAGCCAGTCCTCAGAAGGAACATGAAGCAATCTACTTCCATAGTGATACCACCTCAGAAACCCAAAGAGGGATTGCTATGAGTTGGATCCCACTTGACTGCAGCGAGTTTGGGTTTTCTGGTTATTTATTTATAATTTCTACGTCAGCTTCAAGTTTTTGGAAAACTACATGATTAGTTGGTTCCTAATCCAAGAAAGATTTGGCCTCTGCTTAGGTTATGAATGAAAGAGCAAATTCTGGGTAACTAAGGCCCCTGGAAAAGTGAGAATAAAGACAAGAATCAGACTAAGGGAAAAAAAAATTAAGTAAGAGCCTAGGTTGGTTTACTCTGTTCAAAGTAATGCCACAAGATGTGTGATTTATACATAACCCTAAAATCAAATTCAAACACATATTACATATCCTGTAGATTACTAAAACTCCTACTCATTTCTAGACAGAAACAACTAATTATTATAAGTTAAAGTACCCTATGAAAATAGTTCATTGAACATAAAGCTAAACGTGTGAAACACATAAAGGAATAGTATGAGGAGAAACGAAGCAGCAGCCAACTCACAAAGTCCTGAGCATCTTTTGTTCTTGGCACAAGTCGTTGGGTATTCTGCTTATCTTAGTACCTGTCAACGTCCTGTAGAAAACATTGTTCATCTGAGAAATGATTCAAGTCAAGAAGGTCAACAAATTGTTGTTCTGATGTTGAAAAATAAATGCTTACATAGTTTCACATGGACTAGAGTTTATGCACCCAATTGCCTCATTATTCCCTAAAGTTAGGCATGTGGGGAGGTGATTTAACCCTCCATTCAGATATGATCTTCACAGTAATACAGAAAAACATGTGAAATAAGATAGCATTATTGTCCAAACAATGGGCTGGATTTCCCACATGCTCCCACAGAAAAACACGAATTCACAGCCACAGACTACCTCAATTATCTACAAATTCTGTTACCACCTCTCACTTAAATCATTTGAAATGAGTGTAGCATCCTGTCCACAAACTCTATTTATTTATTTATTTTTTTTCTTCCAGTTAACCTGGCTGAACATTTAAAAATTTTCTCTTATTCTCCTCTTACCTATGTTCCCATCTGTGCTCAAATCGCAATTCCTGTTCTTGTCTTACCCTTTCTGTCCTTTTTACTGCTACCGTGCAGAGGTTGGTGGTTCAAACCCACCAGCCACTCTGTGGAAACAAGACTGGGCAATCTACTTCTGTAATGATTTAGCACCTCAGAAACCCAATGGGAGCCGCTATGAGTGGGAAACAACTTGACGGCAGTGGGTTTGGGTTTTGCTTTGTGCAGAAAGTCATGGAAGAATCCCAAGCACAGCATGCTGGGAGCTCTGGAGCAACTCCAGAGATGGACTGAAGCCTCAGAATGCTCATGGTTACCTATGTTCATCTGACCAAGTAGACTATTCCCATGATCTTCTCATCATTTGACCCACTTCTAGCCTTTTTTTCCTTTTCTTCCTCACATGACCTGCTCAAACATTCCCAACACTTCTAAACTGCCTTAAAAGTCAGATAAACTCCTTAACTCCTTAGTGCTACCCAACTCTGTTTTCTTACATCTTGGCACTGTAGAAATTGTAATACTTACATAGCATATCTTGGTTGATGACCCTAGCTGCCTCAGGTACAACCTAGCTATCTGGAGAGCTGAGGTAGTAATCAAAATCTTGGGTGCACCTATAATCTACATATAGGCCACCCACTGGGAAACTCTGCCATAACCAAATGTTCAGGTTTGTTGTATGAAAATCTAACCCCAAACAATTTTCCAAATTTCTACATACCATGCACCATCTCAGTATAAACATGCAATTTCTAGCTATATTTGATCATCTGTAGGCCATTCCTGAGTATACTTATGGTATTTTCATTTTTACTGAATCCTGACTTTCTAAATAAAATACCCAGCTCTGGGAAACCTGATGGTGTTCAATTCTAAAACACTGTACCTCCTCCAAAAACCTTCTGGCACCTATAGCGATCACTTCAACTTCTGACTTCCTAAATCACTTAGTTCATTTGGCACTTACCATCCTATACTCTCAGTGACATTTTCAGATGTCACCCCCACATACTAGGTTGTCATCTACCGGAGGTGGCTGACTAACTGCTACCTCTGTATCTCCATCTCCATGCATGAGATTAACGAAGGTGCACATGTAAGGGAAACTGGAAGAACAAGTATAAACTCATGTCACCACTGAAAAGCACTGGCACAATGTAGGCCAGCAGTGTCGTCTTTCACAGTCCCTCTTCAAAGGCCCACACTTACAGACTCTCCAGGTGGACAGTTCCGGTCAGATTGGGGAACCACTGTACCATGCTTGCACCCCGAATGACTCTTTAAGAAATTGGGGGAAAAAAAATCAACTGAAGATAAAGTTTTCTTAAAGAATAACATTTTCATTTTTATCTCACATATAGTTTAAAATCAGAGCAATACTGTAACTAAAACTAAAATTCATTTTCATCTCTTGAATGTGTGTGAAAGTTTGATAATTTGGCCAAGTGTTCACATAAACCAGTATCATGATAAATTTCAGAGGCAACCTTTGGATTTAGTACAAAGAAAAAAAGATTCTGTTTTCTAGAGTACAGTAATAAATCCTTGTTCTCCCATTAAAATGATTATTTAAATTTGCAGGTTTGCTTTTAAATTTTCATAGTACTTACATGGAATGCAGATCAGATAAATTGTAAAATGCTGAGTTCCCCAAAAAAGATAAAGGATTATCATACAAATGTCTGTAAAAAAAACCAAAAAAGCACAAATTTCCCATGTGTTCACAAGAAATCCAGTATTAAATCTCTGTTCACAAAGTTCATATATCTAAAAGCCTGAATTTTCATTCTCCAACCTGATGCCTGGCACTAGAGCGACATAGCTTTAGATGATTATATATTAAAAGAAACTTTCAAAAATACTTACATAGTTCTTAAAAGTGGATTACCACCAAAGGCTCCATCAGGGATAACAGAAATAGAATTACTATGAAATCCTCTAAAAAGATAAGACAAAAATATTTTGAAATACCTATCTCCTTGTGAAATTAGTTAAAATCCAAGTATCTACTGCTGCTAAGTATTATGTAAAAACACACTGGTAGTAACTACAGGAAAATTTTTTTAAATGTGAGGAACATGAATTTTTAATATCCATTCATCTTTTTCTGGACCATACTTAATTCTATTTAAACCCCCTGCTTACCTTAGTTAGCTATCAGAGCCTTCATTTATCTGCTATTTCATGGAAGGAGATCTTTAGACTACAGGGAATGAAGTGTCCTACTCCTAAATCTCACTGTGCCTGCATTCAGTCTTTAAGCAATATGTCTTAGGATATCAGCTGCCAACTCACCACACATGATCCCTGTCACACCATCTACTTTCTTACCTCTGCTCATGACAAATCCTATCATCCAAAATTCTCCCTCATGTCTTTCCATTTATTCAAGTTTTTTTTTTATTTATTGAAGCCCAAATTCTTCCTCTTTAGTGATGCCTCTTCCCATGATCCCAAGCCTTACTGAGCTCATTTTCGGAGATAATTTCTTAATCCTATTCACACAGCACTTTTTTCTCCCTGCAAGCCATCTTTCCTTATGTGGTTGGTCTTGCCAATGGACTAAGACTACAGCTCTTTAAATGCAGAAGACCATATATTACATCTTTTTCTGACAGCAATATTTAGCCATACATAATGCTGTATGCTCAGAATTGTCCATGCCAGCTAACACAATCCAGTATGATTATGTGTACATTTGTATGTGTGTATTATTGATATATATAATGGAATAAAGATGTTCTAAAATATCATGGTAGCTACATCAAAGGCTAAGTTATAGGGACATTAAGGCACAAAGAGAAGTAAGCAATACTCACAGCTCTTTTAGGCTAGGAAGGGCTTTAATAGCCTCAGGAAATTCCCCCAAGTTATTGTAATTCAAGTCCCTAGGGGGAAAAAAGAGGGAGGAGTGAATTGATCACCACTTAGAAAGCATTTCAGTATAATTTACTTTAAAAAAAAAAAAAATCATATCCTCCTACTGGTTATCTTTCTTTACCAACTGTATTACCACCAAAAGCCTATGGAATTTCATTGAATTACTTTTCCTCAGAATAGTAATAAAAGATACTTCTATAATGTTTTAAGATCAACAATTTTACAAGTTCAAAGAAATCTCAGAATCATGTATTAGTGACGCAATAGTTAAATCATCTGAATGGCATTTCTCAGGAAATTTGCAAAATATAATTTATTGAATATCCATTTACAAATGAAGATACCATGAAACTCAGGTTTCCAATTAGTGTTTAGAGTAGCTTTCTGAAGTCCTGACAAAGATGCAGATGACCCAAGCCCTACCATCAGTATTATGACCTAACATGAGTATGAACAAGGAGAAGGTCCATGGAGAACGAAACAACCACTGCCTTCATGCAGGTAACAGATTGCTAAAAATATTATAATTGTTTGGAAAGAGTGAGTAGTACTGAACTTTATCAATGAGTTTTAATTCTGAGTGTTTAAATTTTTATTTATCTTAACCTAAAGACCATGCTGGCATATGATGATTAGCATGGTTGACTTCAAAATGAATGAAACTTAAAATTAAAAAGCTCAGCTCCTTCAGGACCTACTTTGTTTTCCTTTTCTATATAGAAAGAAAAGTAGCAAATGAAAAGTTTAACTGGGGAGAAGAGGTTTAATTTTACTATAATTGTAATGTTATACCTGGCCTATGATTAAGTGACCCACTTAATCTTCTATCTATTATACTGGCATTTACACACTTAGGAAAGTTGAAATGAGTACGGAACTACTTTCCTCAAGAGCATCAACTTTCAAATATTCATTGATATTCACTGTCCTTTAATTACCTACACAGGAAAATGGATTAAGAGAGTCCTAAAAGAATTTAAGTGTTTTCATTAACTGACAGTTAACCAGAAAATTCAGTTAAACAAAATACCTATCTGAGTAAATTGGGACATTTATGACTCACTTACTATAACACAATAACAAATATTATAGATGTTTGAATAAAGGCAACTGATGTAAACAGAAATAACAAAAATAAAGATCATACTACTCAGTTGTACACACGGTTGCACAATGTTTGTTACTGATACTGTAGTGCAATGTACAACTAAAACAGCCAGAAATCCCAAACACTAGTTAGTGTCAACAACAAACACATCATAAACAAAAATGGAAAACTTTAGTTGGTTGCATTTAAGCATATGAAAGAAAATACAGTATTCAAACTGAGTTACCAATTAACAAGGCAATTGAGATCATGGGGAAAATAACAAAACAAAAAACAATTATTATGTCTCTTTGAAGAAAGATCAATGTGGAATTTTATCAGAACTCATTTTATAAGCTTCAATGTTCTAAAAATATGATACATTAAATCTTCATATATTAAGCTGCTTTTAACATGCATCTTTGAAACAAACAAGTTCAAATTTGACCATTTTAACCATCAATGTAGATGACAATTTCTAACTGTATATTTGATGGCAAGACTATGTTAGGTATTAAAGTAAATTAATAGTGAGCTGAATTCTAGACCAATTTTTTTTTTCCTTTGTCAGCAGTGAAAAACAAACTTCACTGTCAACATCATAATCTGACTACCCAAAATATGAAGATGCTTACAAGGTCTCCAGGTTATCTAGTCCATCAAAACAGTGTTGACCGAGGCTTTTAATTTTATTGTTATGAAGGTGCCTAAGGAAAAAGCATAAAATGACCTTTATATCTCACAACAGCAAGTACTACCATTGTTTTATATATCTGAATTGGTATGAATTAAAGCAATGGTGTAGCTAAACATCTCAACATTTAACTACAGAAAGTAAATAGCACTGGACAGTTATTTCTTCATATACATTACACAGACAAGAGTTCACTAAACATAGAATACACATTGAAGAATAGTTTTGATCTACCCATATCAAAATAAAATTTATGACTAGTTCTTAATTCTATGAAGGAAAACTTTGATGAGCTCTCCTATGGAAGTGAGGAATGACATGAAGGAAGAGAGCCAGTTTACACCATTAGGAGTTAGTTAGGGATTTTAAAAGAAAAAGCATTTCATTAGTTCACATTATGAAAGATCCAAAATACAGAGGATCATATATTCTTTGAATAGAAAAATTGGTGAAAATATGAACTACCCCGAAACATATTTTCTATGAGCATCTCAAAATGATTTTATTTCTTTTAACATGGAATATATTTCTGGCGAACAATAGAAGTGATACAAGTGTTTGCTGAACGATCTAACTTCATTTCATGACGACAAACGGTCATTTATTTTAGGGAGATTCACAAATTATTATCAGACATTAGTTTTTATATTGTCCTATTTTGTATTTTAAAAGTCAGCATATTTAATCTTTGTAAACAGCAATTCCCCTAAACACTAACAATTCAGAAGAGTGAGCAATGAAATGCTTTCATAATAATTGTCACAATAAGCCTATTTTCTCCCCCAAATAAACACAAGTACTAACAGTGTTGGATACTTACAGAACCACCAGACTTGAAAGGTTGGTAAAAGCAAAATCGGGGATGCTTGAGATTTTGTTGAGAGCCAAGGTCAAAGCCTGAAGAGTTGGAAGATTGCTGAGGGGATGGACAGGCACCTCTGTCAAGCTGTTGTCATCCAGCCACAGATGACGCAACTGAACAAGCCCCTCAAAACTGTCCTCAGGGACTGAGGTAATGTGGTTGGCATCTAAACGCCTGACACAGAAACAGAAACAACCATGTTCAGTAAGAAATTCTAGTGGAATGAGTCAACTCCAGGCGCGTAATTTCTCAGAACTTTCAAAACAAAAAGGAATCACAGTAATTACCAGGCCTGTCATCCTTGTTTCTTTAATTTCACTGGAAGTTTTAATAAAATGTAATAACTTTTCTAAAACCATATACGAAAGTCAGTTCTTCCCTTCATAACAAAGGGATTTTATCCAAGTCTGAATCCTTCAAGTAAACTTAATTAGTAAATAACTTTATAACAGAAGGATATATTAAAAAAGGAGAAGAACTTTCACAAAGCTCAGGATTGAATTTATGTTTCACAATATACTTAACAAAAATGCAGAAAAACTAAATAAACTATTTTACTTCCAATTTTATAATTAATATTTGATATTATATTTAATGACACTCTGATTTAGTAACAAAGGGTAAGGAAAAATTTAGAAAATATTTACAAAAATTTCTTAAGCAATAAATCATTTCAATACATTCTCAACTATCCTTATCTACCATCAGGCAAGTTAAAAATATAGCTCTCAGGTAATGGCAAAGCAACCTTTTCTTTCTTAGTGCTATGTATGTACTTTCAAAAACTAAGTTTGCCAAAATTAACAATTTTTAGGAAAAGGTCGAACTGTCTATAGCAAACATTAAACTTGTACTCTGATCAATGTTATTATGGCTTTAAAGTTTAACTTTTCCAAAAACTTTAGAATTAAGGACACTTTACTAATAGGCTTACTCATAGTTAAAATTAAGTCACCATCTGCAATTCTGGAAAACTAAGTCCTAAGCATTATTGTTGGCACAACCAGGTGTAATCATTGAGATAATCGCTTTTCAATGGAGAGACAACCCAGTATTAATATGCTGAGGGACAGTACGTGCCAGGCATATCATAACTGTCCTCAGAAATCCCCTGCTGATATATCTTTACCACTTAAAACTCATACCTCACAGGCTTGGACCTCTTGCTAAAATTAGGAAATATGAAGAACTGGTGAAAAGTCAAAATGACAGCATTTTTTTTTTAAGAAAAAGAGTTTGAAAGCTTTCAAATTCAGGAAATTCTAAGTTTTAGAGTGGCTTTTGTAATTTCAAATATTTACTGCCTCCAGCCCCATAGTGCTAGTAGAACTTCAGTTCCAGACATAATCTTCCCCATCCCCTCCAGGCAAGTGTTGGGCCCCAACTCCTACCTAACTACAGCTAATCCCAGACAGATTCTACTTCCAGAGCAGATTTAAGAAACAAAGCAGTTGTCCTTGAGTCACCTGTACCTAACTCATGGCAGCCTTACTGTGTTAGAGGAGAACCACGCTCCAGGGGCTGTTCAGTGGCTGGTTTTTCAAAAGTAGGTCACCACACCTTTCTTCCTAAGGACTTCTGGGTGGACTCAAACCTCTAACCTTTTGGGGAGAGCCAAGGTGTGAGAGTAGAACACAGAGAAAGGGAAAGGAGGGTACAGAGAGATGAAAGCAGGGACCAGATTATGTAGGGAAGGGATAGGATTATAACTAGTACAAATAGAAAACGTCCTCCAGTTTCCCAATGCTACATGTATAAAACTCTAAATTGCTTATTTTATTATACTGGTGATAACATTCAGTTATATCCAACAAAATAATGAGCAGTTGTTCCCCCATACACACAAAATACCCCCATTCTACTTTTCTAACATAGATCCAGTGCTGTATACATCATTTACATGACTGCAGAATTTTATGTGCTATGTGATCAGAAAAAAGGAATGGCCTTAATTTATAGCAACATAATCAGGTATGCTAAAAAAAAAAAAAAAAAACTATCTTCTACGCAAAATAATACCACACAAACTCATTTCCTCTGTACTAAAAAACTGCCACGATTTTCAAGTGACACATAAGTACAAGATTAAAAACAACAACTCTGGAAAAACGGAATCGAAAATAAAAAGCTATTTCATCTGAAAAAGGATTTGTGGTGACTCCAATGGTTAACCCTTACGCCTCCACTCACATGCTAGTGTTGGTGGCACACCCGTTAAGTGCAGAGTTTGCACTAATGCTGAGATCCATGTCGCACAGAGAAGAGATCCTTTCCCCCCTCCTCTTTTCTTTTAAAAACCCAGAGGGGTTCAACAGAATGAATAGAAAATACTTGTTCCTTCTTCTGTACCTCCCTGGGGTTGAAAAGGATTACCCTCCAGAGGGATAAAATATACCCACTTGTTTCTTTTATCAAATTTAATAATGGAGGATGGGAGTGGAGCTTAGCGGACGGCTTGAAAGGAAGGTGAAGGAATCTGTGACTAAGGAGAATCATCAGGGTCCAGGGTAATCAGTCATCCATGCGGTTAATGGATTTGGATAGCTGGCCTAGACTGCCAAATCATTTTCCTTCCAGCAATATGAATTAACGCTAAATTAATCCAGTCATGGGAGGCAACACACAAAATGATTTGGTGACAATTAATAAGAAACATCAATTAGTTGAGGGTAAACAGTACAAATTAAATACTAAAATGCTATGGTGACTAAGTAAGGAAGAGAGTACTGGGGACAGTACTGTGGCTTTTTACAATGACCTACTCTATTAATATGTATCCTAATTAATAGGCCAAAAAGATACTATAATTGATTGTTTTCATAGATGCTAAATGGCGTTAAATATTGCACGAGATTATGTGGACTTCTTAAGGTATTCCACCATTTAAACTCCAGATTATCACTTTATTTAAGTGCACTTTTATTGTTAAAAGGTTAACAATATAGTAATCGAATTCCCTTACTATTTTTGTCTTTAAAATACGCTTTTATTATCTATTATCAAAGCCTATTTTACATCTTACTCAGATTCAAGGTTTTTTTATTTCTTGCTCTAAATAAAAATAAAAGTTATTCTGTATGCAGTTATTAACTCATGAAAATCTGTTCAAAAGTCCTACTCTATGCAATCAAAAGCTCTCCCTTTTTCCCAATACTCCTAAATAAAAAGTAACACAAATATTATAGTATTATAAACAGATTTTGTCACCAGTTTCCACTGTGGGAAACTTGGAAAACTAGTCTTTAAGATTCTTTAATATTCACTATATATGTAATCAGAAGCCCTGGTAGCATAGTGCCTAAGGCACTTGACTGCTAACCAGAAGGCTGGCGGTTCAAACCCACCAGCCACTCCTCGGAAGGAAGGTTGGGCAATCCTACTTCCGGACATTGTATGCTTGCTCTCTCTCTCTCTCTCTTTCTCTCTCTCTCTCTCTATATATATATACACATATATATATATATATATAAATATATGAAATTGTTGGGATTATTCAACAATTCCCTTAGATACCTTGTAGCCATCACCAAGCATACACAAACTACACTAAGCCACTTCTGGTCAATTTCAACTCCTCATGAACTTTGCTCCTTTCAAGCACTACTTCAAAACCACAAGGAAATCTTTCCTGTAATTCAGGTCTGAAGATCAGATTTTCAAACTGACTCAAGTGCTGATAAGACTGTTTTACACCAGGACTGAATTTCAATTGTATCTAACCTGACCACTGCACACCCACTGTGCTAACAAACCCATGAACATTTCCTTTTTAAATGAAACAGGCATGACACACAGCTCACTGTGTTTCTGATACATACAACATCCCAGTGCCTTTTTTAAAAATACTTTGACTCCTCTCTTTCTAAGCTTCTCTTCCACTTTGGAGGTAATTTAAACTATGCAACTCACTCAATGAATGATGAATAGAGTACCGTCACTCCTCACTTAGGGACATGGTTAGGTTCCAAAGACCAGGTCCTTACATGAAATTGGCATTATGCATCCCGTCTTTGGCACTGGTGTCACCTTCCCAGTCACTCACTGCCCATCCTGGTATGCATCTGGGAATGGGTATGACATGGTAGGCCCCCTTCCTCACCACACCTTCCTCATCACTGTGGAGCTGGGGGGTAGGGGAGGGGAAGGTTTGGGGTAGTAGTTCTGGTCGTGTGTTGCCTGCTGCCTGCTTTGGGTGGGGTCCGCACTTTGTCCTCCACCTGCACCTCCCACTGCCTGCCCTGGGCAGGGAAGTACAATGTCCACCCCAGCCCCACAGCCTCACATGGCCCCCTTCCTTCTCTCCATCCTGCTTCCCTGTCACCTTTGGCCTCTTGCCTGGCCTCCACTTGCCAGAAAAAAGAAAAAAACAAAAATAAAACCCACTTCCAGCAAGTCAATCCTGACTCATACCAACCCTACAGAACAGAATAGAACTGTTCCACAGGGTTTCCAAAGCTGTGTATCTTTATCAAAGCTGATTGTTACATCTTTCTCCCGAATTATAGCTGATGGGCTCAAACCCCCAACACTTTGTTAGCAGCTGAATGCTTTAACCACTGTGCCACCAGTGGCTAATAAAAGATCCTTATGTTCCATAACTTGGCATTTTAGGGAAACGAATTACTTCATATAGTTCTACTTTAAATTTCTATTTAAGCTAGAAATTAAATGGCCAACACCCAGAAACTCCTTGTTTATGATGTTAAATACATTTTTAAAGTTTAACTTTTACAGCATATGATTATGTTTTTTATTAGTATATGTATTTATTTTCACATTCAATTCCTACTATCTAATCCAAAATCAAAAGATAATCTATAATTTATAATGTTTAGTGGTGGACTTTTGATGCAGTTAAAACGGTTTTATATTAGCAAACAGATGAGATAAACAGTTTCACTTTTACTTAAGTTTTCCAACTCACACACATGTCCTACAAAATTTTGTATTTACAGTTATTTCAAAGGATAGCAAAAATTGAGACAGGTTAATATATGAGGATGTGATGTGGTTAAATGTAATTTTATAACCCAGAACACGTAAGTGTGATCTCCATTGAAGTTTTTTTCTTAGGGTTATTCTCAAAACTTGGGTTTTGCATGATAATTTTCAGGGGTAGATTCTTAAAAATCCGACTTCCTGGGGCCTACCTTTAAAGAGAAAATATAAGAATTTGTAGGAAAAGCCCTCCAAAAAACTCACTGCCACCGAGTTGACTGGCTCATAGCGAACCCCACTGCGTTTCCCTGCTGACATCCTGGTTAACAGACAAACGCCTTATCCACTATGCCACCAGAGCTCCTTAGGATAAGCCCCAGGAAACTCCATGTTAGAAATGATGATTCTACTGCTGGGAGTCAAACCGCCACACTCTGAGAAACTCTGTCCCAGTCCTGCTATATTTAGCACATGAATTAAAGCAGGGAACAATGTAATTTTTCACCAATTATTCTAGCAGAAACTAACAAAGTTCCTTATTTTGAGGAACACTTTATTTTGGTAAGTTCTCTTCTCCTAGTTGAAGTCTGATAACCAAAGACTGGAGGTTCCAAGCTACTAAGAGGTGCCTTGGAAGAAAGGCTTCACAATTTACTTCTCAAAAATCAGCCACTGAAAATCCAATGGAGCAAAATTCTACCCTGACAGTTGCCATGAGTCGGAATCAACTCAATCACAGCTAGCAATGTACTCACTCTGACAAACATGCAAAAGGCTGTTTAAAATTCTGGTTCAATAACTGCATGTGTTAATTCAGTTTAGTTTAGTTCCTCAATTTTTTCTTTAAAAGTACCCCTAGATTCTCCAAAAGAGTCAAAAGAGAACCTACAGATTGGGAAAAAATATTTGGTAATAACATATCTGACAAGGGACTTATCTCTAGAATTTATAGAACACTCCAACACCTCAATAACAAAAAGACAAACAATCCAATTAAAAAATGGGCAGAAGACATGAATAGACACTTCACCAAGGAGGATATTCAAGCGGCCAACAAACATATGAAGAAATGCTCACGATCATTAGCTATTAGAGAGATGCAAATCAAAACAACAATGAGATACCATCTTGCTCCAGCACTAGTAGCAAAGTTCAACAAGACAGAAAATAACAAATGCTGGCGAGGTTGTGGAGAGATTGGGACTCTCATACACTGCTGTTGGGACTGTAAAATGGTACAACCATTGTGGAAAGCAGTATGGCGATTCCTTCAAAAGTTGGAAATACAAATACCATTTGACCCAGCCATCCCATTACTAGGTATATACCCTAAAGAAGTGAGAGCCATAACAAGAACAGATATATGCACGCCGATGTTCATCGCAGCACTATTTACAATAGCCAAAACTTGGAAACAACCTAGATGTCCAACAACTAAGGAATGGATAACCAAACTTTGGTACAATCACACAATGGAATACTATGCAACGCTAAAGAATAATGTAGAATCTGCAAAACACCGCATAACGTGGATGAACTTGGAGGACATTATGCTGAGCGAAATAAGTCAGTCACAAAAGGACAAATATTGTATTAGTCCGTTATTGTGAAAGTTAAGGAAAGGTTTATATATTGGAGGACATTTTCTTTGTTGGTTACCAGGGGTGGGAGGGGAGGGGAGGGAATGCTGTTAGATAGATAGAGATAAATATTGATTTGGGTGAAGAGAAGGGCAATGTACCAAATGTGAGTGACCAATATGGCAGCATTGAGGATGAGAAAGACAGAGAGAGTTACATGGGCAGTACAAACAACAAATATGAACCCCTTTGTAAATACAATACTGAGTTGTCAATGAAAGCAAACATGGGTATAGGGACGGATAGATGGGTGAACAAGCTAAACAATTATGTATGTCTAAATGGAGAGTGTATCCAAGATCATATACAGGGTTGGCAGACAATGGGCCTCTCGAAGAGTATGAAGGGATGGACACTGGGAGGAGGTGACTGTGGGGAGGAAGTGGGAGGGGAGCTGCTGCATTGTAAATTTTGGTCAATGACATGAGACAAAGTATATGTGAACTGCTGTATGAAAAGTGAATTTACTCTGTAAATCTTCACCCAAATCCTAATAAAAAAAAAAAAAGTACCCCTAGAGATAGATGAAGTAGCCCTGGTGGTGCAAGGGTTTAGCACTCAGCTGGCTAACTATCAACTGATTCATTGGAGACATGACCCGGTGATTGATCCACAAAAATTAAACAAACAAAAATCAACAACAACAACAACAAACCCTGCTGCCGTATGACTCATAGTAATCCTACAGTACAGAGTTGAACTGCCCCCATAGGGTTTCCAAGGGTGTAATCTTTATGGAAGCAGACTGCCTCATCTTTCTCCTGTGGAGCGGCTGGCAGGTTCAAACCACTGACCTTTCAGTTAGCAACTAAGTGCTTAACCACTGCACAACCAGGGCTCCCTAGAAAACCTTATGAGGTAGTTCTACTCTGTCACATGGGATCAGTATGAGTTGACATCAATGTGAGGGCACCTTAACAACAGAGAGGAATTTGACCCCCTATATATTGCCGCCGGGGATGGCCTCAGGGCCTCGGGCAGTCAGCTGCCACACCCAAGGCTGCGGGTTCAAACCCACCGGCCGCTCCCCGCCAGGTAGATGGGCCATCTCTTTGGGAGCTCTGGTAGCATAGTGGCTAAGGCACTTGACTGCTAACCAGAAGGCAGGCGGTTCAAACCCACCAGCCACTCCTCGGAAGGAAGGTTGGGCAATCCTACTTCCGTAGTGATACTGCCTCGGAAACCCAAGGAGGGGTCGCTATGAGTCGGGGCCGACTCGACGGCAAACAACAACAACATACTGGGGGTAGGAAGTCCTGAAGTTTTAGCCCTAACAACAAGAACAAAAAAAATCAAATTCACTGCCACTGAGTCGATCAATCCAGTTATTAACAAAACCCAGTGCATTGAATATAAAAAGTGTCTCTTCAAAATCTGTAGATTTGCATATCCCTCTGTGGTATCACTACTTAGATAACCCACTTACTGGGTGGTGGTGGTGGGGCAGAGTATATGAATACCCAAACCTTAGAAGCAACAATCCCCATCCTCCAGGTTATAAACATATACAAACATGTATTTGTGTATTCGAAAAAGGACATATGCATTTATGTGTGCGTGTGTATGAAAAAACATGGGAAAAAAGCAAAATGGAGTGCTACTTGAAAAAGCTTTTGAAATCAGTAGCTGAACATGGTAAAAAGCTAAAGTTCAGACCTCCAACATTCCTTTCTTCAAAAATAAAAACCTGGAAGGAAGCAGTAGAGCTGATTAAGTTATATCCCCAATATATGTTCAATATGCATAGATGAGGAATTATATTTGATTTGTTCTAATAATTATTACCAACCAAAACAGAAACCTCTGTCATAGTTATGGCACAAAAAACTAAAACAACTTTCCCTATATAACGCTGGTTCCAAAGAGGTGGTGATCACCAGTCCCATACAACCTTATGGATGTCTGCCCAGCATTGAAAACTCAGTTGCTCTCTCTCACCCTCTGAGACAAGAGGGGTAAACAGAACCCTTTCATTCTCCCTCACCAAAGGACACTCATAAAGCAACAGCCTACCGTCCCTATTTTATCCTAGATGAGAGGATAACTCCCCCTCCTTGGGACTCCAGTTCTTTACACAGCAGCCAGAGTGGTCCTCTTTAACTGATTCAAGAACACAGAAAACCCAAAGAAGTTAGATAGAAAAAGAGTATATACACCATATGATTTATTTCTATATAATATTATAAAATGAAGATTTATCTATGACAGAAAGTGGACTCATGACTGCATAGGCACAGGGGATGAGGAACAAAGAAATTACAAACTGGCGTAAAGAAACTTTTGGTGATAATTGTTACTATTATGGATTGAACTGGGTCTCCTCAAAATATGTACTGAAGTCCTAGCCTCTGTATCTATGGATGTGATTCTGCTTGGAAATAAGGTTTTCTTTGTACTATTAATTAGGTCATACTCAAGGAGGATGGGTTCTAAACCTAATCACTTCTGAGTTATAAAAAGAGTAAAATGAGCTCAAATAGAGACACCTACAGGAGAAAGATGCTGTATGAAGACAGAGACACACTGAGATACATCTACAATCCAGGAATGCCAAGGATTGCTGGCGGCTCTTAGCAGCTGAAAGAGACAAAGGAGTCCTGTAGAGCTCTGACCTGAATTTAGACTTCTACTCTCAAGAACTTGGAGAAATCAATCTCTAATCTCTGTTCTTAAAAGCCACCCACTTGTGGTATTTCTGTTATGGCAACACAAGGTAACTAAGGCAGATACATTTATTATCTTGATAGTGGTGATGCTATCACAGTTTATACATATGTCAAAACTTACCAAACTGTACACTTTAAATGTGAAATTCACTGTGTATCAATTATACCTAAAAAATTTTAAAAATACAGAAAACCAAAACATTACTTACAAAGACTGCAAAGCACTCAGTCCTCGAATGGCTTCATTGGGTACTGTTTTCAACTGATTGTTTTGGAGGGTTCTAGAAGGAAATTTTTTGGTTAGTGCATAACAAGCAATTGTTACCCATTTCTTAGAGAAATTTAGTACCACTTCTTTCAAAAGCATTAAAACAAAAATAAAATCCTTTCAATAGCTAAAAGAGAGGGTAGGGAGTAGAAAGCACATAAGACGAGCAAACTGCAAAAAAGCAACACACATTTGTTATCATGCCAGATATGAAACCTAGGCCATTTGACCAAGCCATTTCCTAATGTGGGTAACCCATGTTTCTGATGGTTGTCTAACTTCTGGAAGTTAAGGCACTCTAGCTAACATCCAGTGATCTAGCTTCTGTTAAACCCATTGCTGTTGAGTCTATTCCAACCCATAGCGACTTATAGGACAGAGCAGGTAGGGTTTCCAAGGCTGTAATTCTTACAGAAGCATGCTGCCGCATCTTCCTCCTGTGGTGCCGCCGGTAGTTTCCACCAGCCATCCATTCAGTTAGCAGCTGAGCACTTAACCATTGTACTACCAGGGGCTCTGTTGTTAGGTGCTGTCAACTTGGCTCCAACTCAGCAACCCTAAGTGCAACAGAACAAAACACTGGCCAGTTCTACATCATCCTCACAATTATTGTTATGTTTGAGTCCACTGTTGTACCCACTGTGACAATCCATCCTGTTGAGGGTCTTCCTCTTTCTCGCTGACCCTCTACTTTACCAAGCATGATGTCCTTCTCCAGGGATTGGACCCTCCTAATAACGTATCCAATATATATGAGATAAACTCACCACATTTACTTCTAAGGAGCATTTGGCTGTACTTCTTCCAAGACAGATTTGTTCATTCTTCTGGCAATCCATGGTATATTTGATATTATTCATCAACACCAAAATTCAAATGCATCAATTCTTCTTCAGTGTACCTTATTCATTATCCAGACTTTACAGGCATATTGAATATGCCATAGATTGGATTAGGCTCACCTTAGTTCTCAAAGTAACATCTTTACTTCTGAACACTTTAAAAAAATCTTTGCATCAGATTTGCCCAATACAATATGACATTTGATTTCCTGACTGCTGCCTCCATGGGCACTGATTGTAGATTCAAGTAAAATGAAATCCTTGACAATTTCAAACATTTCTCCATTTATCATGATGTTACTTATTGCTCCAGTTGTAAGGATTTTTGTTTTCTTTATTTTTGGGTGTAATCCATTCTGAAGGCTGTGTTTTTGATCTTTATCAGTAAGTGCTTCAAGTCCTCTTCATTTTCAGCAAGCAAGATTGTGTCATTTGTGTATCACGGTTGTTAATGAGTCTTCCTCCAATCCTGATGCTGCCTTCTTATATAGTCCAGCTTCTCAGATTATTTGCTCAGTATACAGGTTGAATCTTGGAAGGAAGGTTGGGCAATCTACTTCCATAGTGATACTGCCTTGGAAACCCAAGGAGGGGTCGCTATGAGTCGGGTCTGACTCAATGGCACATAACAACAACAACAACATACAGGTTGAATAAGGATCTGGTGAAAGGATACAATCCTGATGCATAAATTTCCTGATTTTAAACCACAGTGTCCCCTTGTTTTGTTTGAATGCCAGCCTCTTCTTGGTCCATACACAGGTTCCACATGAGTACAACTGTTTTGGAATTCCCATTCTTCACAATGTTATCCATATTGTTATGGCCCACATGGTTAAATGCCTTTGCATAGTGAATAAAACACAGGTAAACATCTCTGTGGTACTCTCTGCTTTCAGCCAAGATCCATCTGATATCCAAATTATGTCCTCTTCTGAATTCAGCTTGAATTTCTGGCAGTTCCCTGTCCATGACCTGATACAATCATTTCTGAGTTGTCTTCAACAAAATTTTATTTGCATATGATATTAATGATATTGTTCAATAATTTCCATATTCTGTTGAAATGGGCATGAATATGCTCTCTTCCAGTCCGGGGCCAGGTAACTAACTCTCTTTCAAATTTCTTGATAGAGAAGGAGTGAACGCTTCCTGCATTGCACCCATTTATTAAATAATGTTAATTGTGAGGTAATAACATGTTAATTGGGAGAAATAACAAACAAACTCATTGGAATCCCTAAAGCCTTTTCAAATTGAATGAAGTAGAGTCCATAAACATGGAAAAGAGGAAAAGCCTATTGATTTTGCTGTTCCTCAGTGCATCTGGGATCAGGATAGAAATACAACTTTAATCATCAAATAGTTAGAGCCTGAAGAATGGTATTACAATGAAGTTCTTTTCATTTTTGTCTAACATCATTACTCAAAAAAACCAAAAACCAAAACAAATGAACTGCCATCGAGTTGATTCAAGTCATAGCGACCCCTCTCTGGGTTTCTGAGGCAGTATAGCTACAGAAGTAGATTGTCCCATCTTCCTTCCGAGGAGTGGCTGGTGGATTTGAACTGCCAGCCTTCTGGTTAGCAGTCAAATGCTTTAGGCACTATGCCACCAGAGCTCCCAACATCATTACTAGGCACATTAATAAAATGTCTGGTTCATATGAATTGCTGTAACATGAAACGGAAGAGGTAAAGCAACCATGTAGCTCACTGAACCACACAAGTCTATTGACTTGTGGAGGATCTATCACTCAACAAGGTAATGGCAGAAGTGGGGCTGGCCGCCAGTTTACCTTCTCCCAACCTGCCACACTCCAAGCTCCTGACCATAATAAAGAATTTATTTCCTGATCTCTCAAAGCTATATAAATCATAGGTACTTCAATGTCCTTTAGATCTAAAATGATTTAATATTTAGAGCCCTTGTAAGCCTTTTTCCCTTTAAAGACAGCCAATTCAAGTTTCTTATAGCTATATAAAGAGCTCTGGTGGTGTAGTGCCTAAGGCATTTGACTGCTAACTAGAAGACTGGCAGTTCAAACCCACCAGCCACTCCTCAGAAAGAAGGTTGGGCAATCTACTTCCGCAGTGATACTGCCTCGGAAACCCAAGGAGGGGTCGCTAAGAGTCCAATCTGACTCAACTGCAGTGAGTCTGGAGAGAGTTTTTACAGCTATATATTAAGTAGAAACAAACCTTTCTAGTTAAGTTTAAATATGGTTTTGATTCAATGCATAAAATATACAAAAAGACTAACTTTCAACTGTAATGCACTGGAGGTCAGAATGCCTGTTACTTAAGGTTTTAACTTTTGTTATTGAGACACAAGGTTGCAGAAATCAACCTCCAGCCTCCCACACTACCACTGGCCACTCCTTAAATCTTTTAATCCTGAACTAAAAGAAACTGTGCTTAACCTAGCTCCAGGCATGTTGACTATGCAGAAAGAAAATATACAGCCAGCTGTGAAACTCTAAAATTGCATTACTTACAGAACTTTGAGTTCTTTCAACCCAGACAAGGCTTTTGGGTGGATAAAAGAAAGGTCGTTTCCAGCCAATCGTCTAGAAAAAAAAAAAAAAAAAGGCAGCAAGAGAAAAAAATAGAAATTCAGACTCATAATTCAGAACTCATAATAACCTAATCTGTGATTAAAGCTTTATGTTAAACATCTCTCATTTTTATCTGACATTAAACATGGACTTACATCTTTACCAAAACGATCCCAGGATTTTTCCAAAGAGATAAATGTCTCTAGAAATTTTTTTTTTAAAACTCCCAACACAATCAAACAGCCACATTTTTTATTCTGGTGAGGTCAAGCAAGCCAAGACACATTAAACCAAATTCACTTTGCTATTCACGGTCACTCTCAGAAGCTTGTGGTGTTTTCCAAGTGCCTTATAAATACAGACTACCAGTCAGCAGGCAGAAGTGTTTACACAGATCCCAGCAGGCCAGCATGTTAAAGGGGGACAGCCTTCTGGAGGCAGACAGCATGTTATCTCTGACTAACCAAGGGCAGCAGATTCAAGGCAAAGGCTAGGCAAAAAGTTAAAGTCATTGTAAGTGTAACTTTCTAAAACAAAGGCTTATATATCTTTTTAAATAAATGTTGTCCTAAAGAAAATTAAAAATGAGAAATTTAGGTGGGAGTAGGGGAATAAGGGGCAATCTACTTCCGCAGTGATTCTGCCTCGGAAACCCATGGAGGGGTCGCTATGAGTCGGGTCCGACTTGATGGCACATAACAACAACAGGGGAATAAGGTAAGCTGTTAATACGCTCAGCTGCTAACCAAAAGGTGGGAGGTCCCAGTCCACCTCCAGGCACCTCAAAAGGAAAAGCCTGGCAACCTACTTTGAAAAATCAGCCATGGAAAACTCTATGGAGTACAGTTCTATTCAGACATACCTGGGGTCATTATAAGTCAGAAATGACCCGACTTTTTTTTTTTTTCTTTTTTAAGGAAAGGATGAAAAACTCTCTGGTTACCTTTTTAAGAAATCTGAGCACAATAATTCATTCTGAGCCCCATTTTGGGCACACAAAGGGAACTGAGTAGAAGAAACAGGAAACAAGACAACTCACATAACTTGTAAACAGCTGAAGTGAAAGAAGGTCTTCAAATCCTTAAAAATGGTAACTGTGTGTCCCAATGATGAAACACAGTACACTCCCCAGGATTCTGGTCTATAACTGAACTCACAACCAGCTGGATTCTGTAGCTAAGGTGTTTTTTTTTTCCCCCTTCTTCTTCTTCTTCTTCATGCTCTTTCCCCTACTGTCTCAGGGCTACATAGTAATCAAGTCATATTATTTCCTTATTTAAAAAGTCTATTTCCACCTTTCCTTTCAATTGCCCCTGTCAACATCCTGAGTCTCTGGGCCTTATTCATCAATTCATTCACCTACCAAAAAGTTTTATTTATTCATTTAAGAAAATGAGTGCCTACCAAGTGCCTCGGAGCTCTGGTGGTGTAGTCCCTAAGGCATTTGACTGCTAACCAGAAGGCTGGTGGTTCAAACCCACCAGCCACTCCCCGGAAGGAACGTTGGGCAATCTACTTCCTTAGTGATACTGCCTCCAAAACCCAAGGAGGAGTCGCTATGAGTCAGATCCGACTTGACAGCAGTGAATTTTGACTTTCCCAAAAAGGAAGGGACTTTCCTTGTCCCTTCCTGTGTGGTACAGTTAACACATGCAGCTGCTAATGTGTGGAAGTTCTAGTCCACTCAGGTACCTTGGCAGGAATGTCTAGCAATCTACTTCTGAAAAAACAGCTATGTAAAACCCTGTGGAGCACAGTTCTACTCTGAGATGCATGGGGTTGCCATAAGTCCAAGTTGCCTCAATAGCAACCAGAAAACCCAAGTGCCAGCCATTGCGCTAGATATTCAGGAGCTTCAGACTGCACCAGCACAACGTCCTCTCCACCACCTTCCAGTCTATGCCACCTGCACATCCTGATTTTAGGGACACAAGGAAGTTTGAAGCCACTGAGGTCTGAAACTTCTTTTAGAGGCATTTTGCTCTTGAAGTTCTGTCCCAGTTAAAATGCAAATACTCATATGGGAAGGAAAATACTTGATCCTTCCCTAGCATTAACATGCAAGCGTGAATGAATAGGATTCCTGTGTGTAGAAGATATGCGTAGGCAGGGAAGGAGAGCGAGGAGGATAGGGTGGGATGGAGTGGAATAACCAGAAGTCATTAAATCAAAGTAGTGAGTTTGTAGAATTATCTCCTCAATTCACATCAACTGGATTCTCAGGCAATACCACAACATGAACACAGGGTTTATGTCCCTAATTTAAACTCTTCCTAAAAACTCCTCTTACCATTATGCACTTTGTTTCTCACAAGGTACACTAGCACCTAAACAGTATCACTACAGAAGTAGATTGCCCCATCTTCCTTCCGAGGAGTGGCTGGTAGGTTTGAACCGCCAGCCTTCTGTTTAGCAGTCAGATGCCTTAGGCACTATGCCACCATAGCTCCTACAACATTCACTTTGTACCATCAGCTTCAAGTCATCATCTGTAAAATAAGGAATCAAAGATGGTTTTATGGTCTCTTCAGTTCCTCATTTTAAAGTATTTCTCCAAACCATCCTCTTGATTCTAGATTACCCAGCTTCACCACTATATCTTTTATACACTTTACCTAGCAACCTCATTTTCATCCCTTAAAGACCCTACTCTAATGCTACTTCCCTTGAAAATTTCAGTTCTTAATAACATGCTCCATTTGGGAATACTTAAGAGTTCCTAATTAAACTTGATCACAGGCTACCTTCTACTGGTTGTTGTTCTAGTCTTGCAAGCCAAGGAGAAACTCTTCCGAAGGCATTGCATAAAGCTCAAACTTCTGTTGATGTTAGCTGTATTGAGTTGCTTCTGACTAATGGTGACTTCATATACGCAGAGTAGAAGGGGGCTTCGTAGGGTTTTCAGGACTCTGACCTTTCAGAAGCAGATCACCAGGCTGTCTTCCAAGGCGTCTCTGGAAGGGCTTGAACCAGCAACCTTTCAACTAGTAGTCAAGCACTTAACCATTAACACCTCCCCTACACTTCTGTTGTTGTTTTTGTCCGGTGTCCTTGAGTCAGTCCCAATTCATAGCAACCCCATGTACAACAGAACAAAATACTGCCTGGCTAGCACCATCCTCATAATCTTTGCTGTGTTTGAGCCAATTGTGGCAGCCACTGAGTCAATCCATCTCATTGAAGGTCTTCCTCTTTTACTATGACCCTGTACTTTACCAAGCATGATGTTCTTCTCCAGAGACTAATCCCTGCTGGTAACATGTCCAAGTATGTGAGATGAAGTCTCATAATCCTCACTTCTAAGGAGCATTCTGGCTATACTTCTTCCAAGACAGAATTTGTTCCTTCTGGTAGTCCATGGTCTATTAGTATTCTTTGCCAACACCAAACTTTAAATGCATTAATTCTTCTTCAATCTTTCCTATTCATTGTCCAGCTTTTGTATGCATATGAGGCAACTGAAAATACCATGGCTTGAGTCAGGAGCACCTCAGTACTCAAAATGCCATCTTTGTGGCTTTTTAACACATCAAAGAGGTCTTTTGCAGATTTGCTCAATGCAATACGTCACGGGGTTTCTGGACTGCTGTTTCCATTGGTATTGATTGTGGATCCAAGTAAAATGAAATCCCTGACAACTTCAATTTCTCTCTGTTTATCATGCTGCTGCTTATTGGTCCAGTTGTGAGGACTTTTTGTTACACTGAGGTGTAATCCCTACTGAAGGCTGTAGTCTTTGATCTTCATCAGTAATTGCTTCAAGTCCTCTTTGCTTTCAGCAAGCAAGTTTGTACCATCTGCATATCTCAGGTTGTTAATGAGTCTTCCTCCCATCCTGAGACTACATTATTTTTCATACAGTCCAGCTTCTTGGATTATTTACTCAACTCACAGATTGAATGAGTACGGGAAAAGTATACAATCCCAATGCATACCCTTCATGATTTTAAACCAGAGTATCCCCTTGTTCAGTTTGAATGACTGCCTTTTGGTCTATGTGCAGATTCCACATGAACACAAGTGTTCCGGAATTCCCATTCTTTGCAATGTTATGCATAATTTGTTATGATCTACAGTCAAATGTTTTTGCATTGTCAATAAAACACAGGTAAATATCCTTTTGGTATGTTCTACTTTCAGCCACGATCCATTTGACATTGCAATGATATCTCTCATTCCATGCCCTGTTCTGAATCCAACTTCAACTTCTAGCAGCCATTTGGCTGGAATTCTATGGATCTCTTCCAATTGGTTGGCCAGGTAGCTCTCTTCCAAATTACTTGGCATATACAAATGAGCTATTCCAGTGTTGCCTCCAATGTTTTGTTGGTATTCATCAATTCCTGGAGACTTGTTTTTTGCCAATGCCTTCAGAGCACCTTGGGCTTCTTCCCTCAACACCACTGGTTCT